AAAAAAAAAAAAGAAAGAAAAGAAAAGAAATAGGAACTTGTAAACAAACCAGGCTCAGACCCTACTATTCGTTTAGACTGCCTCCACTTTACTGTTCTGACTTGCTGTTCCATCTTCTAACCTCTGACTTCTCTGGCTATGGGACCTGGACAACAAAATCTGCTTTTCCTCTTCCCCTAATCTAAAAAGTCTTGCCCTCCACTACCCCAGGTAGATATCTCTCTTTTTTTCCTTGAAAGATCACATGTAAATCATCCTGGGTTTGCAGACTTAAACTTAAAAAGCTGGCTTGGGGCCTGTGGCTCAAGTGGCTAAGGCGCCAGCCACATACACCTAAGGTGGTGGGTTCGAATCCAGCCCAGGCCCACCAAACAATGACGGCTGCAACCAAAAAACAGCCAGGTGTTGTGGTGGGTGCCTGTGGTCCCAGCTACTAGGGAGGTGGAGACAGGAGACTCGCTTGAGCCCAGGATTTGGAGGTTGCTGTGAGCTGTGATGCCATGGCACTCTACCCAGGGGGACAGCTCGAGGCTCTGTCTCAAAAATAAATAAATAAATAAAAACCCAAAAAGCTTTTTAGGTGCATTATTAAGCAACTACAGGATTTGATAAATAATATGCGTATTGCCTAGATGGACAAAGCACCGCAAAGAAAGGCAGGACTGGATTGATGAGGTATCCCAAAGAAGCTAGCCAGGAGAGTAATGATCCCATCTATGCTACATAGTAAGGCCCCTGAGATAGGCAAGATCTTTGTATTGGGGGTGCCACAAGGCAGAGCTGATTCAGATCCTGGCAAACCTCACCTCTAGCCTGAGGGCTTGCCTAGGAAGTAAATGATAGCAAGGCCCTGAGGTTTGGGATCCAACAATTCTGGTTTGAGCAGCATACCCTACCCAACCTTTTTGCCATTTTACTTAATCTTGTTGAACCAGAATACAACTACACCTGGTAGTCACACTAATTACATTAAATAATATGTGAAATGTTCTTTGCAGAATGTGATTTTTCAAACTATTGAGCACAAAGCACATACATTATTAACATTTTTTAATGTTATAAGCCAATATAAACATATAAATATATATTTAAACAAGAGTTTCATAAAAACAATACCTTACTACTCAGAAGTCACTTGGGGCTTGGTGCCTGTAGCTCAGCGGCTAGGGCACCAGCCACACACACCAGAGCTGGAGGGTTCGAATCCAGCCTGGGCCTGCTGAACAGCAGTGATAACTACAACCGAAAAATAGCCGGGTGTTGTGGCGGGCGCCTGTAGTCCTAGTTACTTGGGAGGCTGAGGCAAGAGAATCGCTTAAGCCCAAGAGTTTGAGGTTGCTGTGAGCTGTGGCGGCACAGCACTCTACCGAGGGCTACAAACTGAGACTTTGTCTCAAAAAAAAAAGTCACTTGGTATTTTCTATTCTATTGAATTTATTGTAATAATGGCTACAATTCACACCATTCTCACGACTCTGAATATGTATTTTTTAAAACACTGTTGGAAACCATACAATTGTTGGTGATTACGATCATTAGTATGATTCTCAGCGATAGTCTGAAGGCCAAGAATCATAATTGGTACAATGGAACCGGTCAAGGTTATCACGTCAAGCCCTAGAGAGCTCTGTTGCCAGGGAACAAGTCCCTAACATCAGGGTTGGTCTACCCTTGAGCGGCCTCAATTAAAAGGAGTGGGCCGTACAGCTGTCACTCACATCAGACTGGCGGTAAGCCCGCCTCTGAGCATCGGAAGACCCGCCTCTTCCCTAAGGTTAAGAGAGGAAGGAGGGTCAGGTGGTGACGTAACTTTCCGCTTTAGGTGGCCTTCCGCTTGGGCGGCTGTGGGGTAGGGGCTCCGAAACATTAAGTGGGGCTCTCTAATCCCTGGGCTTTCGAAAGTGCCATGAGGTCGGTTAGCTACGTGCAGCGCGTGGCACTGGAGTTTAGCGGGAGCCTCTTCCCGCACGCAATCTGCCTCGGAGACGTCGACAACGACACGGTAGGTGCATGCGCAGTGCGAGAGGCGCAGCCTGGGTGTGCGCAAGAGCGGGCTGGGGTGGGCGAGGCCCTGCAGTGTGCCTCGTAGCAGGGAGCATGCGCGCTGGGACTAAAACTTTTTGGAGGTAGCTTCAGGGTCTTCACGTCGTCTCTGGCTTGGTTGGTCTGGTATCCTGTAAATTTTTTTTAGGGTTATAGATAGTTGATCCCTCTGCCTAAATCAGTAACTTGTTCACTGTAGGAGCCTGGTAAACTCTAGTGGCCAAGTTTCCTGGATCACTGCTTCTGAGTTAACCTTCCTTCGTTGGCATCGCTTCTTTAACAAATCTTTCAAAGACAATTTTTTTTCAGTCGTAAATTGGAAATAACAATACCGTTCTGAAATGGTTTCGCTTCTCCAAAGACTTCTCTAACCTCCCTCCTACCCTCACAGAATTTGACACTCCCTCCGTGACTTAACATAGTCTTAAAACGCACCTGTGCTGCTATTAAACTTAACCCACTGCGGGAGAATAGGTCGATGTATTTTTCTAGCTTGCTTCTCATCTTGGCGCGCCTCTGGCTGGGGCAACACTCGACTCCACCATCCCAGTCTTAATAATGTCAGGTTTCTACAGTGGCAGATGGAGGTATCTGGCGTCTTTAAAATGCTACACGTTTGTTGAATTACAGAAACAATGTCTACCTTTTTGTTCCTTAGCAGTCTTTCCTTTTCTCATTATTTAAATAAGTTAATACAGATCAGTGAGGTAAAATGGTGCCTGGCACACAGAGCTGTTAGTATTTGATTCCATTTTTCTGCAAATCTTTTTTTTTTTTTTTTTTTTTTTGGAGACAGAGTCTCACTGTTGCCCAGGCTAGAGTGCTATGGTACCATATCTCACAACAACCTCAAATTTTTCAGTTCAGGCAATCCTCCTGCCTCAGCCTCCTGAGTACCTGGGACTACAGGCCCCAGCCATCACACCCATATAATTTTTCTGTTTTTAGTAGGACAGGTCTTTTTTTTTCTTTTATTTTTTTTGACACAGAGTCTCACTTTGTCTCCCTCAGTAGAGTACAGTGGTGTCATAGTTTACTGCAATCTCAAACTCTTGGGCTCAAGTAGTCCTCTTGCATCAGCCTCCTGAATAGCTGGGACTATTGGCACATGCAATGCCTGGCTGTTTTTAGAGGCAGGATTTCTCTCTTGCTCAAGCTGGTCTCTAACTCCCTGACTTCAAGTAATCCTCTCTCCCCAGCCTCCCAGAGTACTAAGATTATGTGTGTGTTTTATGATTTTATTCCTATGTCTATGCACCTGTTAACTGTCAGATTCTTCTCAGCAGGGAGCCTCTGGCATTTATCCTTATACCCACAAATGAGTGTCCAGTTTTCTTTATTTTTTTTTTCACTTTTCAATTCTTTCTTTCTTTCTTTTTTTTTTTTTTTGAGACAGAGCCTCAGTCTATCGCCCTAGGTAGAGTGCTGTGCCATCACAGTTCACAGCACCCTTCAACTCCTGGGCTCAAGTGAGTCTCCTGCGTCAGCCTCCCAAGTAGCTGGGACCACAGGCACC